AAAAATGTATGTACGTTGTTTCATTTTTTTTTTTTAATTTTTTATGTACAAAATCATATTGTTTGTTTTATTTTATCTTAATTATATACTTATCTTGTTGCCAAAAAAAAAAAAAAACAATCATGATCTAACAACAATTATCAATTTAAATTATCTTGTATTTTAATTATCCTATTTTTTTTGTTATTGTTTGTTGGTTTCAATATTTATCATGTATGTACCTAGTCATAATAAAATTACTCTATATATGTATTATAAAAGCTAAATATCCTAGAAGAAATTTCTCAGCTTATTGCAAATTTGTTTTTGCTTGATCTATTTTTCTATTATTTTCCAACTATGACATCTAAATTGGGTTAGAAATTTGTTACGCCACTTTGAATATTCATATCATATTAAAATATATGTATTTCAAAAAAATATTATCAAAATGTATATTTTAAAAGACAAAAAAAATTAATAAATATTTTAAAGAAATCTAAAATAAATTTAGGATTGAAGAGATAAATCTGATTGAGTTTTAATTAACATAATTAAAATTAAAAAAATAATTAAATTTAATATAAACTCTAATGTGACAATTAATTAAAATCTTAAAACCAGACCGGGCTAATCTTGCTCTTAGTATAATCTTTAAATGATCGAACTTATTTTGAAAAGTGCGGAGTAGAAAATTAGAAATTGATCAAGGATCAAGGGGTGAATCTATATTTTTCATTTCAGGACACTAGGTTAGTAGATTAGTAACATCTTCTCAAAGTCGCACAAATTGAATTGGGCAAAAACTTTTGCCCAACATTCCAATATATGGTCAAATTTTCTACTTTGACCTATTTGATCCCAGTAAAACTTTTTTTTTTTTTTTTTTTTATGGTAATGTAAAACGTTATAATCCGAAATTATGCACAAAAAATGAAAAATAAAGATAAGTTTTAAAGGATATCAAATGATAACTTGTTAATTTATGTTACTCTTTAAACGAAATACCCTTTATGATTTGGAATTTTCCCGACCCTTTCCAACAACACCCTTCATTATAAATACAAATTTACTAAAAACCTTTTTTTTTTTTTTTTTTTTTTTTTTTTTTTTTTGTTAACAATTATTGAATTATACGATAATTTAAGGGAATTCTATCCGGTAATGCTGTAGTTTGGTTTTTTCTCTTTGGTAAAATGCAAAAATTTGGATTATCATGGTTAATCTTAGTATTTAAAAACATGTTCTTATCTCATTACACTTTTCTATTTTATTCTCTAGAGAATTGAAAAAGTTAAATTATTACAAGTAGGGAAAAAATGGAGGAAGTAGCGAGAGCACAACTTATCTTATTCCCTAAAAGATCGAGTCGTATACATTTAATCGTCTTCATAATCTTTGGTGATAGTCTACAATATCGAAAATTCTACAATAAATGACGTGTACCGATATGTACCACTAAATTAATGTACCGCAATGTACCACTATTCAATTTAATTAAATATATTTTATATTTTTTGCATTCACTTAACACCATTTGACTTTAGCTAAGATGGTAAATTGCATTATTCCTTTGTGCAGGGGTTTAAGGATCAAATCTTTGTGCTCACCATTCTCTTATTTTTTTTTGTTTTTCCTCTTCTCATTTTTTTTTTATTTTACATCATACAACCTATTTAGAATTACCCGTAGGACTACATTATAATTAAACATCTTATTATAATTTTTGAATATTTTGCAATTTATTTGATCCATTTTGTTTTCCTTTAGACTACCTTCATAAAGAAATATGAAATACTTGTTTGATTTATTTTACATCATACAACCTATTTAGATTACTCGTAGAAATACTTATATTATGATGCAGTATGATCTAATGAGAGGACATAATGACAAATATATAGTCAAATTCTTTTTAAAAAAAATATATTATATGAATTTTAACATCCCATACCCGTGTCCCTTATTTTGAAATAAATGTTTCCTGTATTTGTTTCATACTTGTATCTGTGTCAATATCCATTCTTATGCAGCCTATTGTTTAACTATATAAAAATAAAGTCAAAATAGTGGTATAACATGTCCAAAGTTTTATTGTGCCAATTAATCAATTGTTTTAGAACAAATGGATTTTTTTTGTTCCTTATATTGAAATATCGGTACTCCATTTATATGACACGTTACTACTAGTCTTCTCTATTACTCCATCCATTTTTAAATGCTTGCTCCACTTTTCTTTTTCGGTCGTTTTTAAATACTAGCTCCATTTCCTTATTTGGAAAACTTTTACTCCCTTCGTTTCACAATAATGTTCTTGTTTCGTAAATTGATGCAAATTTTTACCCAACTTTGACCGCAAATATCTTTAATCTCACACTAGAAAAAATATAAAGTTAGATATTATAATCTACTCACCAAAAGGATCAAATCTTTGTGCTCACCATTCTCTTATTTTTTTTTGTTTTTCCTCTTCTCATTTTTTTTTTATTTTACATCATACAACCTATTTAGAATTACCCGTAGGACTACATTATAATTAAACATCTTATTATAATTTTTGAATATTTTGCAATTTATTTGATCCATTTTGTTTTCCTTTAGACTACCTTCATAAAGAAATATGAAATACTTGTTTGATTTATTTTACATCATACAACCTATTTAGATTACTCGTAGAAATACTTATATTATGATGCAGTATGATCTAATGAGAGGACATAATGACAAATATATAGTCAAATTCTTTTTAAAAAAAATATATTATATGAATTTTAACATCCCATACCCGTGTCCCTTATTTTGAAATAAATGTTTCCTGTATTTGTTTCATACTTGTATCTGTGTCAATATCCATTCTTATGCAGCCTATTGTTTAACTATATAAAAATAAAGTCAAAATAGTGGTATAACATGTCCAAAGTTTTATTGTGCCAATTAATCAATTGTTTTAGAACAAATGGATTTTTTTTGTTCCTTATATTGAAATATCGGTACTCCATTTATATGACACGTTACTACTAGTCTTCTCTATTACTCCATCCATTTTTAAATGCTTGCTCCACTTTTCTTTTTCGGTCGTTTTTAAATACTAGCTCCATTTCCTTATTTGGAAAACTTTTACTCCCTTCGTTTCACAATAATGTTCTTGTTTCGTAAATTGATGCAAATTTTTACCCAACTTTGACCGCAAATATCTTTAATCTCACACTAGAAAAAATATAAAGTTAGATATTATAATCTACTCACCAAAAAGATCAAACTAGATCCCATATCACTATATTTATTCTTATAGATTAAGAGAAATTTAGAAGATTCTCTCTTTCTTAAAAAAGTCAAAAATTTCAAACAAAAACACCATTATGGAACGGAGGGAGTACAATATTTAACTGATTTCACTCACGTAGTGGACCCACCATGATCATATTTTATTAATTTCATATTATCTCTCCTCCAATTGTTTCCACTACTTTTGCTTTTTACAATTTTTTTATTGTTCCACATACCTCACTAACTCCATATATTATTAATTTCTCCTAAAACTCTGCGCATGAAAAAATGGAGCAAGTATTTAAAAACAGAGGGAGTACTTCTTTTGTCCTATTTTCTTCATTTCAAAATAAATAAATGACATGTTTTGACTTGTTACGATATCCGCACAAGGTCTAGTTTGATTAAGGGTCTGTTCACATTTACTTAATTTCAGTTCAGTTCAGCTCCAATTAGTTCAGTTTAGTTCAGTTCAGTTCAGTTCAGTTCAGCTCCAACCAGTTTACTTCAGTTCAGTTCACTTCACTTCAGCTCCTAATTTCCTTCTCTAATAAAACATTCATTTCCAGCTCAGTTAAGTTCAGTTTCAATCAGTTCAGTTTGATTCAGTTCAGTTCAGCTCCAATCAATTCAGTTCAATTCAGTCCAGCTTCTAATTTCCTTCTCTCATAAAATATTCAACTCAGCTTCAATCAGTTCAACTCAATTCAGTAAATGTGAACAGACCCTAAATTTTGTGATTTATAGATAAGAAAAGAAATCATAGCTACGTGAGATCCAACCATTAACGCGAAAAAGGTATCTTATTTCACTTAACCCTAACCCTTAACCCTAAAAATATATAAATCAAGAAATATGAAAAATAGCTACCAAAATAAATTGCCGCCAACAACTTAAAACAGGGGATTTTACATTTAATTTATTTTTTTTTTAACAATTTTTTTTAAACTTATAAACCTATTCTGAGAGAAAAAAAAAAAGGCTCGACACGACGACACTCCATTTTCTCAACTCCAACTCGCCACCGCATCAAATCCAACTCGCCACCGCTTGAGCTCCGCCTCCGGCACGCACCTGACTCCGCCACCGAGAGAGTAGATGCACAGCGCGTAAATTTGTGGTGAGTTTTTTTTTTTTTTTTTTTTTAAGTTAATTGTGCCCTAATTATTGTTTTCAAATTCAATCATCAAATTTGTGATTTGTTAATTAGTATGGATAATAGTTGTGATGAGTTAAATGACATGGATTATTGTTGTTTAATTATTAAATCCACCATAACCAAAGTCTAATCCTAATAATTGTTGTTGGTTTTGCCGCTTAGTAGCTATTGCATGCATGATTGTTGCTATAGATTTGTAATGAGTATAAGGCCATCTATTTTTTTGAGTCGAACTTCTATAAGAGTCTGAGTTCATAATCTATATTACAAAGTATATTCCGCGGCATTGATTGATTTAACATTTAATGAAAGTAGATAATATATAAATATTAAATATATTTTTTCTTCTTAAATACAGCACCAAAGTCGATCAATATTGTGTGGATTGCTCACAATGGACGATCAAGAAATAAGTAATGTTAACACACAAGGAGAAATTGATGATCATGATGATAATGCTAAGTTTGATGGTGAAACTAATACAATAGAAGATCAATTCGAACTACTACCTCCGTTTCTTATTAGTTGCAACTTTGGGGTATTATTTGTGAGATATAAAATATTCCAAAGTTGCAACTAATACGAAACAGAGGTAGTACATGAAGAAAAGACAATTGATCACTTTATTAATGAGCAAACATGGGACAAAATTGGAAAAAACTTAGAAGACTATGATGAAGATGATATGGATATGCTCAGGTGGAAGTCGTTAGAAGATTGTATTGAATTTTATTATACATATGCAAAAGTCAAAGGTTTCGGAGTACGAAAGGATGCAACAACTAAGAGTAGAAAAGATGGGCATGTAATATCAAAGAAGTTAGTGTGTCGTATGGAGGGTCATAGGCATGAAAAATGGTATGCAGATTGCCAGAAGACTTAGATATACAAATGTGTGGGTGGAAAGTGATTTTACAAAAGTGGTGAAAGCAATTACGTGCTTGAACAATGGTGCTACTCCTATTCACCTCCTATTTGATGATATTAGATTGGATAGCTTATTGTTTGATTTCTTTAATATCTCTCATATTACCTCCTACTCGTATTACTTATTCCACTATAACCTCAGTTATATTATTAATGTAAAATAAAAAAGTGGCAATTATAGAATAACACCATTCAACAATAAGTCAATAATACATGAGATAAATCAAGATAGCTGCTCCATTCAAAAAAAAAAAAAAAAAATCAAGATAGCTGCTTGAGATCAATGGATGCATCTCCCAAAATAGCACGCTTAAATAGTGTAGCTTCATTAAATTCGCTAGTGATGAGTTTTGCCAAATACTTAAGTCGTTCAATTCCCATGAATGCCGTCTGCTTAAAAAAAAAAAAAAAAAAAACCACTCAACCTTGTATCTATCACTCTATTATACATATGAAAGTTATAAATCAATCTAATTCAACTTTACCGTATAGAATATTTTTGACCAATCTGATTTATTTTCAGCTGCAACATACTTTAAGATGTACATGCCACAATCAGTTCTGCATAAAGTAATATAAATATATATAAATTTGATTAAAAATCGATTGTAAAATGAAAGTAAAATGTTAACATTACAATAATATATACTCCATACCCATTTGGTTGCAACGGTGTTTTTTGAATATCTACATCAAAATTTACACACTCTTCAAATATTCGCCCCAACTTAGGATGATTCCCATATATTAAATTTTTCTCTGAAGACCTATTATTTAAATCTCCTACCATTAATGTTCCAGATGTAAAATCCTTCTCTTCTATATCTTCTCTGGTCTTAAATAAACCATTATCATTCTTCCTTATTTCATTACTCGTAAATAAGGCCAACATCTTTTCAATGTTACTATTTATACTAACAACTACATTTTCAATATTTTTCATTGACTTGATAACATCAAACTTGTCTAATGGTATTTGATCTCCAATATGATCTGCATTATCATTTTTTTCCTGCATTTAAATAAGTGTTTACATATATTGATAGGAATACGTAAGCATCCAATTAATTATATATAAGACTATAAGATGTGTAGAAAAATAATTTACCTTGATGCAAATATTCTCTGTACAATTGTGAGCATGTTGTTTTGAAGGAGTCAAATTCAAATCCATCGATTAGTTTCTTTGACAAAGAAACAATAAACTCAGACCATATAATAGGTAATTTGCAAAATCTGAAAATTAAACAAAAATATTAAAGAGGTACGGAATGAGAACTCTACCCAACAATGACAAAGTCAAGAATTTAAGTAAAATAGTTGATCGAATTTGAAAATTGTAATTCACGTCTAAATGCTCACGGAAATTAAAGAATGTTTTTACCAAGATTTTATATAAACTAATAAAAAAAATACTAATAGATCAGGGGGGTGGGATTGAATCCAAAAAGAAATAAAACACAAATTAGTATAATACTAATATTGGTATTTATATTATTATTGAAAAATTGCAAGTTTTTTTTATTACAAACTAAGTCCATTAATTAAACGTCCTAGTACAATGCAATGGTGAACAGAATTAGATGAAGAGTGACATTATACTGTCAATTAAGAAATTGATTCGAAATTATAAAAGCCTCATATGCATTTATCTATACTCTAATTGACTAAAAATCAATAAAAAAAAACAAAAAATTATAAGAATTGACTAATAACAAGTAATAAAGTAGCAAATCACACAGTAGTATCGTGGTATGGAGCACTTTCACCAAGATTTTATATAAACTAATAAAAAAAATCAGAAATTGCAAAAATTGAAATAACATCAACAATTCATAACAATGAAGAAGCATTACGAGGGAGAAGAATAGAATTACTTGACAAATGCATGTGGAGATTAGGGTTAGGGTTTTTTAGGGTTACGTTTTAGTTTAATGAAAAGAGAGATTAATATTGAAAAAAACTAACAAATTACCTCAATTGAATCTTAAAATTAAAGATGTTGAATAATGTTGTCCCCAAATTACAATTGCTTCAAGATTTAAATGTGATGAATGAAAATAACGAAGGAGGTAGGTAGAATGGGAGAGCGACAACGATAGAAACTGAAAAAAAAAACTACGTGAGAAATATAAAAGGAATTAAGTGTTTTCCTATATATATATATATAATTTAGTAATACATAGCAGTACATAACATTTATGGTACATAGCGGTATTTGTCATGCACTGTAGACTCTCCCTTACCCCTTTTATTTAGGGTTTCTTTTACGGGCATTGAATAATTAACCTTGGATCTTATTTAAGCTAATCCTCGATTTGCCTCTTTTGTCCGCTCTTCATAGCTCTAGCACAACAACTGTCCAAACAAAGGAAAGAAGAACAAAATAAGCTAAGGCACATATTACCTATCAAACCACAAGGGGAGGAAGGAATTCGTACAATTATTAGTTTGAACCCGAAAAATGAATTGGTATAAATTTGATTCATAATCAAATTTTGTGTACAATAAGTCACATATTCAAATTTCCCAATCTCATTATTTGTAATTTTGTAAGTTATTTTTACTCGGTAACATACAAAGTTATACTTCCTCCGTAACGAATTACTCGCAACAAAGAGGTTTTATTTGTGAGACATAAAATATTCCTTTGTTGCGAGTAATAGGTAACGGAGGAAGTATATGCCTAATGCCTTTATCATCAACACAACACATAAAACATACAGTATGATTCAAGTGATTTTGGTATTTATAAGTAATATCTAAACCATGAAATCCCTATTCAAGTATGAAATAATTATTCGACTGACTGCATTTTCTATATACATTGACAGTTTCAATTTTCTTACCATCATCAACTAAACCAAATATTTCCTCCGTTTTTTTTTACTTAACCCACTTTGACTTTTACACTATTCATCACCTCTTCTTTGATCGTCTTTTGGGAATGATATGTAAGGAAAAATATATTGATATGATATCTTTTTTAATTCGTCTCAATAAATACTATCGTAATATACAACTTTAATAATTTTTATTTACGAAGAATTAAAGTTATTGATCGCTAAAGTTTTGCATTGACAAGCATGATAAAAGAAACAAGTCAAGTAAAAAAGAATTAAGGAAGTATACTTTTAGATACAAGTAAATTAGATCTAGGATCAAAGTACACAACATTAGATAGAAAGAGAGCTTACATTCATCATCAGTTGTGATCCAACTCCCTGTCTTACGAGCACATTCGTCGTACTTGATCGAAGGAGGAGCTGAAGCTGCAGAACAAGTAGTGGAACAACTCTGTACTTCCCATGCTATACTAATCTTTGGAGATTCATTTGTTATTTCATCATCAAAATCTCCTGACTTTACCGTCGCTGATTTATTCCTGAAGTGCATCACCTTAACCGCCAAAAAAAAAAAAAAAATAGTCACGTTAATAGTGTAACTTAAACTAGTGACATAACAACTAAATCTGGATCACGAAAAAAAAAAAAAAAAAAAGATCTGCCTATGCACATACGCGTTTTGTCATACCTTTTTTCCGAATTTCCCTCCTTTTTCAGATTTAGCAGCAGCAGCCCATCTCAGAAGCTCCTTCATCCTCGAAATCGTCTTATTTTTATTACCATCTCCTTTATTAGATCTGTCTTTCTTCTGATCAGACTGTCTACAATGCTGCTTCTTATCTGCATTGCTGCTTGTTGTTGTTGTTGATGATGAATTCGTCGAATCACTAATTGGCAAGACCTTATTCCCAACATGTGAATTTAGATCCACCTTCTGATTATTTTTCCCTACACCGCGAATCAGATCTTCCTTCATCTTCATTGATAGAATGTATCGTCGTTGTTGCTGTGTTAGCCTCGGGCTAAGGCTGCTTAATCTATTCTGATTAAGTGTCCTAGAAAAATATGTTCTTGAGTTACCTCTCCTGAGTAACAAACCTATGTACCTCAAGTTCTTACAGTCTAAGGACGTTTCTTCGGGTTTTCGAACCTTGTTAACATCTCTTTTTCTCTTGTAAGAAACTAAGACCTCTTTTGATGGTTCCCTTACTGCAAAACATCAGGAAAACAAATGCTGTTTATGAATATAGGAATACAAATAAGCGCGATTAATCATTAGAACTCGATCGAATGTGTTGTTTAAGGTCAGTTTTATGTATGTTACTATACCCTGATTGGAGAGATCAGCCTGTTTTTGATCATTTGCTACCTTGAATAACCACTGAAGAACCTGTTATATATTAATGTGTGTGTTAATTGTAAGATTAGAAAAGGCTAATTATTATGTGTTAATACTAATTAAATAATTAGTGTGACAAAAAAGAAAGGAATTTTGATGGGATCATCAAAATGTAATGCAAAGTTCACCTGCATGGCAATGAATGTGCCTTTTATACTAGCAGACTTTTCTTGCTAATTTTTGAAGAAATCAGATTAATTTTTTAATCTTAATAATTTGTCTTTTTTTTTTTTTTTTTTTTTTTTTTGGTCAACTGGACAGCACAAAGGAGATCTATCTGTGCTGTCTTTGTGACTTGTGAAGCAAAAAAGATTCTTGTCTAAGTTGTTGCAAATCTTGGAAGAAGAAGAAGACAATTCAAGAGAGTTTAATTAGAGTGGAAATTGGAAAATCTAAGGGAAAGTGTTAGGAAAGGGAGACAACTTGGCATAGAGTGGGGGCTGGTTGGCCTTGTGATTCAATTTTGCATATAATGTGGAAGGGTAGTATTATATAATATCGAGAACTCACGTATTACTTTCTCATCGGTTTGGAATTAGTTGTCACTTATTAGGTTAATTGCTCCAAACCTGTTGCAATCAGTATAAAGCTTGATCTTTAGAGATTCATAACTTAAGATCATATCGAAAGTTTAGATTTTTTTAAAGTGATATTGGTGGCAAGCTTTTGTGCCACGTACTTGAAATTGATATTAACTAAATTTCAGTCCGCCGAACCATCAATGAATGTGGTATTTTTCCCCATTGAGAATTTGAGATACCTATGGAGTCATTTTCTTAGGGGGTGTAGAGTTGTGGGTTACATTTGGTTAATGAGTATCAATCAAACAATAGAATGAAATTAGTAAGAAAAAGATGGGTGCAGGTTGTTTATCCGTGAAATGATCAATCAATGCATTTAGTGCACGATAACTTAATGCTACATATCTTTGCTAGCTATAGTATGTAGGTTTATTTTAGTGAAAGGAGCAAGATTCAAGTTAATCAACCAATTAGATTGTATTAATTATGATCTTATGGGTATTTTAGAAAGCATTAGACAATTTTTTCAAAAAAAAAAAAAAAAAAAAAAAAGAAGAAAGCATTAAACGATTGTATAAATTATAAAAAGTTAGCTAAAATGAAACACGAGTTCTATGTGTTGAGTTCTTGTTATATCAAGGATCAAGATTCGAAACCTGATCAAGATGTGTTTCTAATAAAGTCATAAGGGCAAAATTAAGTTATATCGGACTTTTTATTTGTCATCTTTTAAACCAAATACGACCGTAGTATTATATTGTAATAAAAAAATACCAACCATTTGATTTTTATTTTTCCGGTTTGATAACCCACATGACTTTTTTTTAGGTGATGATAATTAGTGTTTATACTAGATAAGTAGATATACACCATATGACTTTAATTTGTTGCCTTCCATAATTATCACTTGAGAGATAGTATGACTAAAGACTAATTAAATTGAAATCCATCCATCAACTGCATTACATAATTAAATTCTTTCATTCTTTGTAATAATTCATGCACAACATAACTAGATCACTAGACACTAGTTAATAGTTATCTTCTAATAATATCTATAATATATTTGTAATCTTTTTTTACCTTCTATTTTCTCCTATGGTCATTCCAATATGAACATTCTTATAAAATCAATTTTAACGTTTCTTTTTGTATGGCATTCCTTCCTCCACAAAAAAAAAAAAAAAAAAAAAAAAAAAAAAAAAAAAAGTGGGGGCATTGGCGGATGTATTTGGCTCTCAAGGGGAGCACTTGCATCCCCATTTTGCAAAAATTAAATGAAATTCATGGGTCATGTATAATCTGTAATATTTATTCTAATAGTTTTTGCTCTCCCATTTTCATAACTTGATCTTCTAAAAGACAAAACCAAGCAATAAAAATACATTCTAAATATTTAGGCCCTATTATTTTAAATTTTCATCTTATTTTCGCTACGCTTAAATTATTCTTATTGAACTAAAAGTAACATGGCCTTCGTAATTTTTACAAAATATAACATTTTATAAATATTTTATCCATATAAAATTAATTACTCGATATATTGCGATGTTTGTAATGTTTGAACTTTTAACACTATTTACATCGCCTTTTGTAACCACAAATTGTGATTTATACGTAAGGAAAAAATAGTCATCAGTTTTTTTTAAAGATTCGTACTAATACAAAAGGGACAGAGGATGTATGTAAATGAAATATAGAACTAACAAGTAAAATACATTTTTTTTTTGCGCTATAAAGTTTAAATTTTTTGCACCCCCATTTTGAAATTTCTAGATCCGCCACTGGGTGGGGGGTTTTCAAACTTGGGGCAAAGGCAACTATTTATCAAAAGAGGTTTTTCCACCCTTTGCTAACCAAATAGAAGAAAACTACTCAGTTAAAAAAAAAAGGTTTTTTATTTTTATTTTTTTATTTTTATTCAACCGTCGCAGGTTTGATGAAGAGAACCATTGTTTGTTTTTTTGTCTAATGTATTTGTTAAATTTAGATTTCAGTTGTTAATAAATTATTTATTTCAAAAAAAAAATTAAAAATAATATCCGTTTATATTTGAAGCATATATTCTCAAGTACATATGTACTCTTTTTCAAAACAAAATATACGCGTTTTAAATGACAAGATCCTTATCATTAGCCACTACACAAAGAATTACATGCAATATCAAGCACTTGCACTTCCATTCCCACTCAATCCTTCTCCCAAGTATTCAATTCTCATAATAATGGTCCATAATTTCATATCTTTGATATAGTACATGAATTATAGACCTCATCTTATTCTACTATATACTTGTGTTACATAAGTAACAAAATTATAGTCCACAAAGAACTATACTAAGCAATTGCTCTCCCTCTCAATCCTTCTCAAAGCTATAAATTCATCAAATTCAATTGCTAATTGTTGATGGTTGAGCTTGTAAGAAAAAAAGATATTTTATTTGGTAATGAAAACAATGTTGGAAAAATGGGTTTGTTAGATATCAAGTGGATCATAAATTAAACTAGCTAAACCACCGTATATGCTCACATGGGAGTGAGAAACCTACCAATCAACTACTAATCACAATCTTAATTTTATATTAATTTAATCAGTTTCTTAGAAAATGTTTTCAGCCATAACAAAATTCTGATAATAAATGTTAATCATTATATGAGTATATTTTTTCATATGTACTCTATATAAGAGATCAATCATCCAAACAACATTATGTGAAATTTTAAATTTTATGTCAACTAAACAAACAGTAAGGACCTGTTTTGATTTACTAAACTGATTGAGCTGAACTGAACTGATTGAAACGAAACTGAACTAAATATTTAAGAACTGAAATGATTAAAATTGAAGTGAACTGAAATTAAGATGAAAAGAACAGGCCCTAAGTATCTTCGAGTGGCTACCTTTATGTTCGTGTTAGAGGTTCACTGAAATTTCGTAATCAAAATATTCTAAGGACATACATACATGTGGGGTGATGTGTCTCTATTCTCATCATTAGATATACGTGGGAGATGTGGCCTAATCTTAATGGTCAAACTTGATCTAGAAAGAGAGGGAATATAGGAAGATGTCCCCATTTTAGGGGAATTTGGAAGAAATAACATGATTTTCACTTCGCTAACAACAAAGAGATGCAAGACTAATTGTTCTTCATTTATGTTATAGTAGTATATTTGTACATGGACGGTGGTGTGATTTTTGATTTTTTTTTAATGCATGTTCTTTGTGCTTGATTGGAAAGAAATTAATGAAAGGACTTTATGTCTTGAAATCCAATCGATTGAATAAGTGTTGATCCAATATATTTTAGTTTTTTAATTACTCAATAATCTTTGTGATGATGTTTTTCATCTAATTTTGATGTTGTAGGCCAAATAAAAAATTGTGGTTAAATCATGAAATTGATATTAAAATTTTTACTAAAAACATTCATGACAAATTTAAAATTCCAAATATTATATGGGTTGATGAAAAGAGGGAAGAGAACAACACACACTAAAGTTTATGCAATACTACCTTCTTTTTTTTTTCTTTTTTTTTTTGGCAACTTTGCCGTATTATTTGTGAGATATAAAATATTCCAAAGTTGCAACTAAAAAAAAGTCGGAGGTAGTATATAATAACTTGTTAAGTTGTTATATAATTATATAATTAAATTATAATTCTTGCAACTAAAATAATAATACGAATATACAAAGTATTAATTCAATAATGTATAGCAAAATAATGCATTATTTCAATTCTTGATTGATACTTAGTATCATCACACTATCATCCTTTCCCCTCATGTTCCTTTAATTTCTCCAAGCATTTTCTACTTTTTTTTTTGTAAATTTAGAGCTAAAGGTGCATACATCTTAATCTTTTGATTTTGCAAAAATAGATCTAAATTGTATTAAAAAAAATCTTGAATTTTGATTAATTATAGCCCCCCTCCTTCTTTTTTCTTTCTTTTTTTTGAACTAAGATTATAGCCCAATTATATTTAGTAAAACAGAATTTAGATAAAATTAATTAATAATAATCCGTAAACATTTGTAACACAAAGCTTTCATCATTTATATCAATAACAATAATTTTAATTTAATAATAATTAGGTTCAATAAGCAAGTCTTATGCTTACTAATTTCTATATAATACTAAAACACTGAGTATCAAGGTATACTTTGGTACATTAACATGTACTTTAAAGAAGATATTAAACTAGGTAAATGGACAAATTAATTGATAAAATCTTTATTATTGATAAGAAGAATTATTAATAGTTCCTATGTATGACTTAAATTTTATAGCCTAATCCATCTATTAACCTTTTCTAATCACTTTCTTGAGTAACATGCCAAAAAGACGTGTTGTAACTTACAAATATATATAATAATAAAAAAGAACATAAAAAAGATTTGAGTATGTTTAGTTAGAACAACACTAAACTAAAAGTGGCTCACATAACTTGAAAATTAAAACCTTTAGTACTATTATTTAGGCATGTGGTCTATATTAATTAAATGGATTATATTTTTCCGCAATCTTTTTATCAGTTAGATCAAGATTCTAGTAGATTAATCTTTGTAACATATTCAAGTGATTTATAAGTTTTATTAAGATCACAAGATCATGTTTCAAGCTCAATTATTCCCCCGTTCGATTGATCATTACTTATTAGGGTGGTCCTTCAATATAGGGACCACTCAATGTTTTCTACTCCATAACTTGTTACTCTTCGTTGGTTCATCATAATCATAGTTGATCTAGGTTTTGGTATGAAAAATAGAAACACAAGCAAAATTATATTTCACAATTGTGTCAAACAAATCCAGTTAATTTAAGTTGACGTGGTTGAAAATTTGTGCTCTTACTCTATAACATTCCATTAGAGGTTTAGGGTATGTTCTCTTTAGATTAATTTCAGTTCAGCTCTAATAAGTTCAATCCAGTTCTTAATTTCCTTCTTCATAAAATATTCAGTTCAGTTCACTTCACTTCAAGTGCAAAAGTGAAATGATAAATCTTATTAAATTGTCCTATATAGTCCAAAAGCAAATGATAACCTTGTTAAAATAAAGTAAGAGACATGACCTCATATAATATGACAAACTAGAAAGGGAATATATAATTAACAATCCCCTAAATGATTGCCACAATACTGTTGTGGACATATTTACAAGTGGCCGATGAGGTCTTGACCTAGTAAGAGGGATAGAGGGTCTATGTACGATAGGTTAGTAAAAGTGTAACACATAATTGGCTCATCAACAACTACAGCTTATATGAGTCCAATCATCTAGAAAGCATTGTGATCAAGCACATTCCATTTGCGCAGCAAGTCGGACCACGAAAGAATATGCATGAATTGTTGAAAGATAAAGAGATTTTTCTTGGAAAAGAAGATGGCAGTTTTCTAAAATGTAAATATGCAAACTATACATGGGTGATTCAAATTGAAATTTGAAATGTTCCTGACCTGAGAAACCTAAATTTACAACAGCAAGCTTAAATTAAGCTCACTAAATTTGACAGGCCACTAAAACATGAAGAAATGAAGAGCTACACACAGCAGAGCTAATTTGAACCTGGCAATCTCCAACTGCGAACATGATGCTACCTTCAGAGCAAATCGCTTGAGACTACTGCCCTTCTGACTAATGACCAGTTATCATTATGCTGGTAGATGAAGGTTCTGCACATAACAAAAATTGATTTGTATACACATTATCAAGATATAGCAAAGAAGTATTAAGCACAGTAAATTGTAAGAGAAGTTCCCCCATATCTCATTACCCATTCAAGATTAGTATTTCATAAGCGGTCTCTCCTAAACCCTGATTGGGTTAAACGACGTCGCTGTCTTGGAGCGGATGAAGTGCCTGGCTCCGCCTCATCCGCAAACACATTCATCTCATCATCGTCTGTAAAGCTATCATCACCATCACCATCACCATCTTCATCTTGTAGGCCCAGAAGATTCTCCCCCCAAAGGTACCTTTGCCGGGATGAACCCCCTGACGAGCGTCTATGCCTTGTCCATGGCCGAGAACGACTCCTTGGTCCTGCCAAGGATTGCATAGATCCAAGCATCTGGAAGAAAAACAAGGTAGTAAACAACCGCCCACTAGCATCTGATGATGTCCTCTCCCTTTCAACTGGTGGCCTATCTCTATCATTGTAATCTATCACATAATCACCGAGCACAACAGCCCCTGGCATAGCTGATCGGATAGCACTAACAATGTCATCATGTTCTCTCTGATGCTCCAAGTGTCTCCAAGCTCGCTGTCTTGATGGATCAATTTCAGCAGGTCGAACTCTGGGATGATCACGCCTTGCGTGCCTGCGCAACTCACGATAGTTACCTACAAATGTGCATGATTCTCGAGTACAGCTCCGAGACTTCAAATTTAAATGATTACGAGCCTCTTCTACAACTGTCACCCCTAATACATCTCCCCTACATAGAGGGCATTTTAAATTTGACTTTTTTGCCAGTTCATCATGTTCCAACCTATCCCTCAAAGATTCGAAATTTTGTCTTCCTATAGCCTCTTGTTCAATATCATAATCAGCAGAATCACTGGACCTTCTAGTTGATGTGACTCTATTGCCTCTGTTGTGGACCCTATGAGGCACAGGTAACTCATTTCCAAACAATGGGGTTAATTGAGGGTCAGAAACCAGGCTTGAATCCTGGAGGGTTGTAGGATCAAGTGAGGTATCTGGTGAATTGGTGTTGGAGTCTGTCTTGAGTTTCCTATACCGATCCAGGCAATTTGAATGCCTGTAACTTGTATCACAGACATAAGATCTACAGCCTTTTGCATGTGAGGTGCACAAAAGAAGAACTGCATTATGAGGATGTTCCATGCAGATGGGGCACAATGCTGCATCCCATTCCTTTTGCACATCACACACATCTGCATCCAAGGACATGCTTCTTTTCTTACCAGCCATCTTGTATGCACTGAAGTATCTCATAAGAACATATTAGAGATCTTTCCAAAGTTAAGACAATCAAAGAACTTCTTAGGGAAGATATAAATAATTTATTGGATTGTGGAAGATATCCTGGCACTTCAAATTTTCGGATATCAGAACCAGTAAGAGCAACGATGTACATGACAAGTCTTTCGGACTGCAAGTATGTAAAACCCAAAACACTCATCTACTTATCTTTCATACTCCCTCCCCCCACACCCCACCAAAAAAAAAACGACACCCAGGACACTCAAGCATCGACCTAGAACAGGGTAAAAGCAGCACATATGATTATAAAGCTATAACAAAGTCTTTTACCTAAGAACAAGTTTGATTAATTCATCTAACAAAATTAATATTCAGTAAAGTATATTTTATTCATTAAAAAAAAAAAATAATCAGTGAAACCAGTTGTAATTGGTAAAAATAGTTTCGGTTCAATAGAAATCAAGTGAAGTGGTAAGAAAGCCTAGTAGACTAACAAAATGGGTAGAAAATTCAAAGTCTTGGCAGCACACATATAGAACGTGTAATATCAGCCTTTAGGCGTATTCTCTATAACAATCATCATCACCCTATCCTAGGTAAACTTAAGTAAAATAATAGTTTGATAGCGTAAACAAGATCTATCAAACAATAGGCTTAATTCATTGAGGTAATCCAATCTCACAATTTCACAGTCTCCTAAAATTTGTACTTGTTGAACTAAGAACAATCCTAACAAAGCCTTCCAACAGGCAATTATATCCTCAGGAATACACAAGCATTATATTACTATATAACAGAAAGCACATACACTAGAAAGAAAAATAAAATATATTCGCCATTACCTTGGTCTATATAGTTCCCCAGGAATCAGAATACTCTAGATCAACCCAGAAAGAATAAGTTGCAACTGTACAGGCAAAGTAAATGCATATAGGTCTACAAGAGAATTTCTGCTAGCACATACCCAACTATCATTCTAAAAGTACAGGTCAGACAACCTAAGAGATATAAGATCTACAAGAGTTCCAGCTTTCCTTTATGCTTCCAAGCTCCTATCAAAGGCTAAAGTAAAAATTTAACATCCTCAAAAGTCAAAAGTAACAGCGTATATTACAACCCTAAGCTTTCCCACATCCATCACCTTGGGTCCTTGATGCTAGTATAAGCATCCACAAATGACTCTAGTGAAGGTGTAAACAGCAAACAGGCAAATCAACAAGTCTAGAAAAAGGAGGATAAATTGATAAAGGAACAAGCACTGTGTCCACTTGGAGTACAAAAGAGGGTGAGCATGATGTACACATTGCTGACACGGGTTCATCCCAGCAATCCACAATACATCAATACATCAGCACAAAGAAGTAGAGAGAGTCTAAACTAAAGATCATCTGTCCCCAATGCACTCACAAATCTATCCACAGATCTGCTAATTATATTCTACAATCAAAATGGGCAGCCTATGCAATCACCAACACTGAAGTGACTAAAAACATTTTACTGTCATACCCATATCAGCCTTTCCTAGTAATTGTTTTTTACAGTGGACTCCATCAGACAGTACAAAAATTACAGCAATCCAGTTAGTAGTTACTTGAAATCCAAAAGGCAAAAATAATTCTCCAAGTACCTCCTAACTTATGCATTTTTTTTTTCCTTAATAACTATTACACTAACCTCTTCTAAAAAAGGTTTTTCATATTGAAGGTAGACAATGCTTCATTAGATAGACAGCACAATCTAGAAAATTGACTGCCTAACTGGTACAGCTAACAAACTACATTTCATAGATTAACTATGCCAAATCCTCAACATTCTAATAAATGCATAGCTATTACATTGCATTTATACCAAAAACATAGAATTTTCTATTTAAAAAAACAGAATCCAACACTTTGACATGTGACCATGTTCTACAAAAATACCTGAACCTGAGACCAGTAACATAGATGACAAGCATAGAAGTTTGCATACTGCAACCAAACCAAAAAGAAAGAGGCAGATGACCACCGCAAAGATAAAATCTTTTATCAAAACAAAAAAGTGAAGAGATTCAACTTCAAAAAAATTTAATTAAAGATGTCAACTATTGTCTCAAAGTAAACAGAAACTTATGACAAAGACTAGCAACTAAATGAAAGATCATATATTTTACAAGCAATGGCTTCAAGCAAGGGAATATGCAATTACAATTAAGTAAATCACATTGACCCCAGTTACAAATTACAATTAACCACAAGTGACACTTACCAAATAAAGGATTTGAGAAGAAATTTTCTGAACTGGACGCTCCTGAATGTTTGACAGTGAATGATAATGCCACGCTTACAGTATGCAACACAAAGTAAAAGAAAGGAAATCCCTCATGCAACGCTCCAATCTGTGTAAATTTATAAGCTTAATCTACAAGTCTTGGTGAAAGAGTGCCTGGACAGTGAATCAAATGATCTCTTGATAGTTAATAATGCAGAACAAATTCACGAACATTTTCAGGCTGCATTGAATTCGAACTATCAAATTTTCAAAGAAGGAAATCATACAATCAAAGCATGACATTCCACACATTTAAAACTACGTATAGAAATAAGAATCTCCAACAACTATTTTAAAATGATAAAGGAGACCACACAATAAAAGCAGGAGCTGGTAACCAGAACATCAAACGCTTTCCACAGAAAATCAAGAAGAAAAAAAAACAGACACAACACACTTTAGAATGTACACTATGATGTGTAATAACATAATACAATATGCTCTAACATGATACACTATGATGTGTAAGCCTATAATACAATATACTCTAGATTATTACATAATCTATCAAAATGTACTAGATTCAGATTTAAAACAGCTACCAGAACAATTACCCAACCTCGAATTAATGCAGAATACATCAGATTCAACCTTAATATAGCACTCAGGAGTCAGGACAATTGCCCAACCTTGACTCAATGTAAAGTGCACTATAGGGCTCCCAAATTACATAATATATGCTCTAAAAGTGTGATCCCAATTACCCAACCTCGAATTAATGCAGGATACATCAGATTCAACCTTAATATAGCACTCAGGAGTCAGGACAATTGCCCAACCTGGACTCAATGTAAAGTGCACTACAGGGCTCCCAAATCACATAATCTATGCTCTAAAAGTGTGATCCCATACTTTATCCAAATCTTTTGAAACAATTGGAGCATCCTAATTTAACCTCATCAAAAATGAACTCGATTTCGGTCCAGAGTCAGCTTTAATCTTAGGGCTATACCAATCAAGCAATACTATTAAGAGTTCTATATCATCCTCCATCAGAAAATTGTCTACATTTCTGTTCCGAATTTAATTCACACGAAAACCCAATTTCCTAAACATGAAAATTCTTCTTCCCAAACAAACTTCCAGTAGAAACATGCAATAAAAAATATTAAATTCATCTAAAAACACTGTTTATCAGACAATTGAATACATGATAACAGATTTAACCCAACAACTAAAATTAATCACCAAACCCTAACCCTAATCCCCTAAACATAAATCAAAGTTCATTTTCCGAAATTGATCAAATTCAAGTTTCAACCGCATAAAAAACCAACCAGATGTATAAAACCACAACAAATTAATCACGAAATGAAGAAAACATGAATTAAACTGCAAGATTTAAACAAAAAAGGCTAAAGATTTTTACAATAATCGGTTATCTCTATTCGATTTGGCTGAAAAAAGATTGAAGGGTTGATTAAACGATCAGAAATGGGGTTGAATTTCAGTGGCGTAATAATGCCGACATAAGAGGATGATGATGAAAAATTGAATCAAACGTGTTAGAATTTTTTCTGATTAAATTATTTATACAGCATCAAAAAAATAAAGAAAGAAAGAAAGAGAAAGTTTATCGAGAGCCTACTTGTTTGTGTAATTCCGAACCGCCTTTGGTATTAAGACCAGGCATGGGAATTAACCTCACATGTGAAATGAGTCGGGTCGGGTTGGGTTCGTGCTGATTAGTCTGAAATTTAGGGGATTGAATTTTTTATTTTTTATTTTTTATTTTTATTTTTTTTTTTTTTTTTTGGGTTGGAGTGTATGTAAGTATTGGTTAATTTTATGGGTTATACAAAAGGAAGCTAAAGGATTGATCTTAAGTATTCATTGATATTTTCTTGGGTTTGAAATAGCTTTTTAATTGAGGTGTTGTCTAATGATGTCACTTAAGGGCACTTATAGAGTTATAGACTTATAGTTGGTTGAAATCAAGGAACCGAGTTAATGAATAATTTTGATTGGTTGACCGAATACTGATAAGTTTAGGAGTATTGATGTTAAATGGCAAATGAAATTAAATTCATTCTTTTTCATGAAAGCTATGGTTTGAACTAAGGATGGCAGTGGGTCGGGTTAACTAGGAGGCCCGCACCATCCCCACTCCCAGTGGGGTGGGGATGGAGGGAGGTTTGGCTGGTGATAGAGGTGATCAAGGTTAGCCCGGCCCGTCGGCCCGACCCGATTCTGGGCGGGTTTTGGGCATATTTTTACAGCTCGGAAAAATTATTTTTTGGGGGAGGGTTTGGGAATACACTTTTACACATATTTAGTTGATTTTTTAGGCCCGACCCGAAATTGGCCCGAAAAGCCCGACCATTTTGGGCGGGTTTGGTCACAAAAATTTGGCCCGAAGCTTGGCCCGACCCGAAAAGTGGGCATAATTTTTTAGCTTCGGCCCGCCCAATGATCACCTCTAGCTGGTGATGGGGCGGGGATGGGTACAAAATGTGTACTCGTCATGGGTGATGGAGCGGTAAGGATTTAAGAGTAGATCCGCCCCATTTTACTTTTAGAAGATTTTAGAGTAGACCAGCCTCATATTACCTTTAGAAGATTTTATACTTTATGTAACTTTAAACCCCCCAAAGGCCTAATCTGCCCAAACGATAAGAGTCCTAATTTTTTTAACATATTTTGATTTAATTGTCATTAAAATGATACAATACAAAATCATGACAATGGATTTGGGATGGTTATGGGGCGGGTATGGGGTGGGTATGGATATCTAATTAAGTGGGTGGTGGGGCGAGGATGGATCCTCTCTTATACCCGGCGGGCCGGGATGAGTATGTGGATATTGTACCCACCACATGTGATGGAGCGGGGATGGGTATAAGATTTTTAGGCATGTATTGGTATGTAGGTACCATCCTCCGACCTGCCCCATTGTCATCCCTATTTTGAACTAGCAATCACATGTAGACTATTCTTTCTAGTTTGTTAAAAAAAAAACTATTCTTTCTAACAAAACCCTAGCCCATTAAGTTTTGAACAAATTATTGATTTAGGCAAACTTTTATTAATTAAGTGTAGGATGAGTTAGAGGTTTCCAAAAGCCCAGCCAAAAGGTATTTCAGTTATTAAGTTTTTACCATTAAGTTGCTTGGATGCATGCATATCCAAGGCTTCAAAGGAAGGCTTTAACCAACTTACATACATTCTCTGGTCCAATATAATCGCAACAAAGGGGTATTATTTACGAGACATAAAATATTCCTTTGTTGCGAGTAAATTGGACCGGAGGTAGTACATTGTATGTGTTTAGCTTTCTAATCTTTTCTTGTAGTTGAACTTCTGGCCTATTTTTCTTCTCGTCCAAGTAGCTGAAATTTTATCGTTCTTGTAGGATTGAGCTTACATACTAACATCACGATCTGAATTTCAAACTTATGCTCCCTAATTAACTTAGGGGCCGTTTGGTTGGGGGTAATCAGGAAAGGGAATGGGAATCAACTGGCCCCATTCCCTTTGTTGATGTTTGTTTAACACTTTTAATCATTCCCATTACCCTCCCTATTACCCCAATTCCTTCCAACTTCATTCCCCACCCCCCCTAGACTTTCCCATTCCCTTTCCCTACCCACCTTCACACCACCCCATCACAACCTTCACACCTACCAACACCATCGGAAAACCAGCCCGACCACCGCCGCCCCTACCCCGACCACCACCGCCACTACCCCGACCACCGCCACCCCTCCCCAAGCCTCGCCGCCCTCCCCTCCCACGCAAAAACCACCCCTAGCCCCGCAAAACCCCTAGCCCCGATCTCTCTCCCACCACCCGCAAAACCCTAGCCACCCCTTCCCCTCCCCTCGCCGCCCACCGATAAACGCGCGCCGCTCAAAACCCCCTCCCCTCACCGCCCAAAAACCCCTCCCCTACCTCGAAAAACCTCCGAAAACCCTAAGGGAGGTTTTTCGAGGGTGAGATTCATCGTTTTGGGCCCAGCGAGTGGTGGGGGAGAGTTTGCGAAGGGCGGCGAGGGGAGGGGGAGAGCCGGCGAGGGGAGAGGGAGGGCCGGCGAGGGGTTTCGTGGCTGGGAATGATGAAAACCATATGAATTGTGTGGTGGTGTGGTGGCTGTGATGGTGGTGGTTGTGGTGGTGGGATTGATTCCCTTGTTTTAAAAACAAACAACAAAGCAAAAAATGGGTATTTTCATTCCATTCTTCTTCTTTCCCTTTGTTCATTCCATTCCGATTCCCTCGTGCGAACCAAACGGCCCCTTAATGTTTAGATATTGTACCTTAAGAACTCGAATGTGTGTACTATATATAGGTTACACATGTATTGTAATATCATTTCACACTTGAATTGTTTTCATATAGGAGGTTGAAGCAGAGCTTGAAAGTCAGCGTGAAGATGAGCATGAAGTCAATGAATCGAATGCCACATCTAGTTCAAATGCAACTACATCAACATACACAAGCTAATGATGACTTTGTCTTTAGTGTTGGAATAAAGAAAGGGAATTCAAGATGTTACTTCCCATTCTTAATTTCAATTGAATAATTCTCACATAACACCTCATTTTAGTAGAAGTTTAAGGTGATAAATCACCAACGTTTTTCTCTTGTGTAACTCTTATAACCCTCCCTTTTTATGAGAATGTTAAAGGAGATTAATTACCACCATCAATTTGATTATTCATCTCCCTTGACGTTTGATGGGATTCTTCTTCTATGTTTTTCTATAAATAAAAGAAGTCTTTATTATGTTACACACACTTAAAAAAAACACATATCAAACACAAGCTAAACACATACTCTATATTGGGCATAAGTTACTTGGCTCCAACCTTCCACCCAAAAGTGCCTTTGAGTGGAAGTGATGTGTTAACCTTAGGGAACGTGCCGACGAATACAATTGAGCACCCCAATTGCGTCGGTATTTCGTTTTCAAGTCAGTGAATTTGCTTCACGACACACCGTACTCTTCCTACTTTTGTGAGATCAATTTTTCGGTCTTCCTTAATATTTTTATACTATTTGTAATAGACTACTCCTTTATTTACAACATGAAGTTGTGTGACAAGCTAAGTCAAAGAGGCAAATAGATACTTAATTCATCAATTCATGCACATATTTTTATTTTATTTTTTCCTAATTGTTTACTTATTAACTCCTTGTACTACGTATTAATAACCATTAGGCGTACAAATGGGAAGTTTGACGATAAGGCTGAGGTGAAGATCAAGGACGAGAAGAAGGGAAGAGCTGAGCTAGAATGTAGAATCCAATATTGTAGAACAATTCTAAAATGAAAACAACATGATACTTTTACCTTCTCTAGCGGACCCAAATATATTTGGGTTTCAAGACATTGTAATACTTTTAATTGCTTATTAATTTCAGGCTTAAATTATGATAAGTTCATTGTTTCAGATTTAGTTTAAAGAGGACAATGAGGGCGAGTTTATTATATAATGCCGTTCTTCATTTTGGGCAAAGAGGGCGATTTGTTTAAGTTGCTCTACTTGATTTAAACCTAAGAGGGCGAAAATAACGGTTGCTCTTCAGATGTTATAGAGGTCAAACAAAATAGTCGCCTGCTTGTTACAATCAAAAAGGGCAAAAACATTTGTCCTTTTTAATTATAGTCAAAGAAGGTAAAAAAAAAAGGTAAATTTGTAAAAAAAAAAAAAAAAAAAAAAAAAAAAAAAAGACCTTTTAAAAGAACCATTTTGCAAAAAAAAAAAAAAAAAAAAAACTTTTAAAAGCTTTATCGTATATAAAAACCCAAGGTTAAAAAAAATTGTTTAAAGAAACCTAGTACCACTAATTCACTTGATTAACCTCTAATATCTTCTAATTACTCTCTATCTCTCACTTAACAATTTAATAATTAAATTAATTTGTAAATTTAAAAAAAAAAAACACCACTACCACCACTCTAACCACCAACCCAGCCACCCTCCTCTCTTTCCCCTCCCTTGGGGGCAGCTCCCACCACCATGACCCAACTCCACCGCAACCCTTCTCCATAAACCCCGACAACTCCCTACCCAGTACCCACCTCCTCCTCTGTTCCTCCATCACCAGAGTTCCAATTTCGTCCTTTTTCTCTCCATCACCAGAGTTCCAATTTCCTCCTTTTTCTCTACCATTATCGCCGATTGATCCCACACACGCTACCGTCTCCACCATTGGAGGCGATTAGGGGTGGTTATTGGGCGGGTCGGTGCGGGTCATTAGCGGGGCGGGTCGGTTGCGGGTCATGATGAATATTTAGCGGGTCAGGGTCGGGTCAGGGTCAATGCGGGTCAGGGTCGGGTCAGGGTCGAGGTAAAAGTAAAACGGGCCATTAACGGGCCATTAACTTCTACTAATCTTTAAATAGCATACTAATCTTTAAATGGTATACTAATCTTTAAATAGTATACTTGTGCTCAGACAAAGATATATGCAGGATCAAAGTCTCATAAAAATCTTTCACATCAAAATAAAACCAGAAGTAGAGCCTGTGTAGAGAAAACCAGCACGCCAAAATAAGTTCACCAAGAGTACTAACCCTGTTACATCAATTGTAATATACTAGTTTCTAGATTTACGAAATACTACTAGAATGGTCTAGTTCATTGCCAACATTTTAGCAAATGTTCTCAGATACCACAAAAGAATGAAGCAGCAGTAGGAATGAAACAAGCTCTTTGGCTCTGAGTGCTTCATGAACTCAGAACAGCCTCCAGCAACAGCAGCAGCTACAAAGCACCTCCCAGCCACACCAACACAAGCAACTACAGAACCAAAAAGCCAGCAGCACACAGAAACAAGACCTGCAGCCCCCAGCAGAAAAAAAAAAAAAAACAGAAGTCAGACATAAGTTGCACCCAGCAAGGACAGAAACAGCCACTACCAAGCAAATCTTTACTACTTTAATGTAATGTGACTAAAAAACAGAACTATTAGTAGAGAAATGAACAAGAGAATATTACCTAGTAGAAAGGGTCTGCATCATCATCCTCTTCTTCTTCAATGATTTCATCTTCAAGTTCACTATCAACCTCTACTTGATTG